CAAATAATAATCCACTGCAAGGAAGAAACAAACACAAGAGTGACTTCTTGTTTGTAAATGTTTGTGTGTGTGTGTGTACATGTGTGTGTGTCCGAACACGACTATGTATTAACTAAAAGTGGCATCCATGTGAACTGGTTATACACAGCCAGTATTCTGAAAGCATCTTTGCCACGGGTTAGTAGTATCCTCCAGTACTGTCTTTTTAGTGCCAGGTTTAAACATTGCTGCAGATAAGAAGAATGCAAAATTAAAAGCAGTTTTAAAAAATAGGATGCCATCCCATTAAAAAACCTCCTGCACATATCCACCCAAATTAAAGACAGTTGCGGCCGAGTGTGAATCATTTCAACGGGGCTGGAGTGGAACCAGTTCTCTGTGGTAAGCGCCCAAAATGATTTCAACGTTCACTCTCCACCTAGACAAAAGAGTACTTTTGAGGCATAGCTGCAATGGTATAAATATTTGGGGGGCTGAACCCCGTATTTCATGTGAACGTACATGGCATAATTACTTCATTTAAATAAACGTTGAAAAGTCCTTCTTTACTGCCTTTTCAATTAATTTAAATTATTTTTTCTCTATACAAGTTAAGTACATGGGTAAGTCTGTACAAAGGCAATTATACATATTTACAGTCATAGAGAAATCCTGCTATTTTCGAGGAAACCAAGAGCATGGCAGATTATATCAAAAAGTATTGCGATCATGCGGACAGTGAGTTAATCGCTGTTATTGTGAACAGGCTGTATAAAAGCATCTGCAGAAAAATAGGCATTTTATACTTCGTAAATACAGCTTATGACAAAATTGCCGTCTCAACTTGTATGGTGCGTACACTGTCAGGAGGTGGAGTCAGGTGTAACCCCTTTCTTACATTTGTAGAGAAAAAGATTATGAAAAACAGCACTTGATTCTGATTTTAAAAGGAAGTTCACTTTGGGAAACCAGAAAGTACACGCCTAAGAAACCCAGCTCGCTTGTACTTGAGGAGGCAGCCCAAATGTACACCTCAAGCACTACCGCTACTAAATCCACGCCCTCCTCAAAGGTCATTCGGCAATATTTTGGCTGCAGATATCCAAAGCTACAAAGAATGGGGGGGGTGGGGGTGAGGCCAGAAGTGCAAGAATTCTGCACGCACAAAAAAGAGGAGGCGGCACTGGCATGCTCCCATGCCAGTGGGCCACAGAGGAAATAGACCCCATTACTGGGGGGGGGGGCTGGTGGTCTAGGGTTGCCAGCTCCGCGTTGGGAAATTCCTGGAGATTTGGGGGTGGGGCCTGAGTTTGGGGGCAGGAGGTATCTCAGTGAGGAATGTGATGCCACCGAGTCCACCCTCTCTAGGGGAACATGATCTCAGCAGTCTGGAGATCAGTTGTAATTCCAGGAGTCCTCCAGACCACCCCCTGGAGGTTGGCAACCCTATAGGATGTCTCGGGCATGGCCTCAATGCACTTGGCACCCACAAAAAAAGGCGCTCCACCCGGAAGCATTCTGGGTGAGAGGAAAAGAAAGCGCTCCTATCCAAGATGACACTTCAACATGCTGGTGAGTATCTTCTACAGCTCCGATCTTGGTTCCCACAAAGAGAAAGCCCAGCCCATGGAACAGAGCTCTGGCACGCCATCCCTCTGAGAGGACTGTGCCACACGCGGGTTCTTCTGAGTGGGCTGAGCCCTGAACGTCTCGGTATAGAAACTGATTTATTCAGAACTACGTCCAGATGCCAGAAGTTGTGAAAAGCCAGCAACACGAATACCCCGAATACAAGCCGAATACTACCAGAAATCTGTTTGTTGACAACTTCACATTCACAACGTCGGTTTTCATCCAAAGCTGCTCTCATCCCAAGGCATGCTCTCAAAGCCACAGTTGTGCCTACTGGACTAATTAAAACACAAGGAATCCCACCCCCGCCAATAAAGAAATACTTCCTTTGAAAGCTTCGCTTGTTTTCACCAAAGCTGGGCGGGAGAGCTGTACTGGGATTCTGCTGCCAGTCAAAGGTGAAACTGGGTCACCAAGACCATTAATTGGGTTCCGCGGACATTTGGGAATGCCCTGGATCAAATCCCACAATTGGATATGTGCTAATTTTATGGATTATTAATTTCCAATCAGAAGGGAAGAAGAAAATGGAGAGAGAAGAGCAGGAGGGTCCGGGGGAGGAGTGGAAGGGCAGGGGAAGGAGAGAAGAACCAGAGGTGGGGGGGGAGAGAGACCTGACTTCTGGAAGGCCAGCTAAACTGCTGCAGGGATTTCATCCGGCCACCAGCACATTTTCACTGGAACTCGGCTTTAAAAAAGGATGGACGGCCAGACTCTGAGAGTGACCCCACAAAAAGGAGAATAATACAAGAGAAGGAAGGGTTGCATCAGTGCTTTGTTCTTGTGGCCCTTTCTTACACGCCCAGGGAAATGCCAATCACCACTTTGGGGTCAGGATGGAAGCAATTTTTTTCTCTAGGCCAGTTTGGCCAGAGATCCTGGAGGGGTTTTTTTGCCCTCTTCTGGGCATGGAGCGGGGGTCACTGGGTGTGTGTGTGGGGGAGGTATTTGTGAATTTCCTGCATTGTGCGGGGGGTTGGACTAGATGACCCTGGAGGTCCCTTCCCACTCTGATACTGTGTGAGAATAAACAGCATGCGCTTACATATAGAACTGATCTCCAGAACTCCTTCGCTTCTCATCTGTGTTAAGGTGCATATCCCAAAGCGGGGGGGGGGTCTTTGGGCCACATACACTCGTGGTCCCAGCAACCAAAGCTGGAACCAAGACTAAGGGAACAAGAGCCGCCTGACAGTTTACGAGGCCAAGTTCCCAGCCTCCCTGCCGTCCCACACACACGCACACACGCACACACACTGCACTCTTGATCCATACGGCCAGAATGTCTTGACGGTGCTCTTTTTGTTCTCATCCTAAGCATTACATGTTTCCACGCCACTGTTTTCTCCCACTTTCACTGTGCAGGGCAAGACACCATGCGAAGGCCGGCTTGCCCCAGGAGTCCTTGGTGGATAAAACAGATACAAAGGCAGCCCTGTAAACAGCTGGACGCTCTCCTCTCTCCTGCTCGGCAAACAAGCCCCGTACGTCCCCAGAGGTGGCAAAGGGCTTTCCACCAGTCCAACCCGAAACCACAGAACCACATTCCACGTCCACGTCTCGCTTCTCCTCTGCTACATTCATAAATTGTCCCGTTTCTCCCCAAACGTCTCTGGATCCCCAACCCGCGTCCCTCTCTCTTCCCGGAGAAGAACGACGGCGGCTTCTATAGGGATACCAGTTTCACGTAGTTGCCTGGGAAAGTGCCAAACTGCCTCGTGCGCCTGGATGTGCCTGCGGAGACAGAGGAAGGAAGGTCCTCAGCAAGATGGGGGCCCACGGCAGGAGGGGGGCCCCGAGGTGGGATTCCCTCTGCCCGGAGGGGCAATGGCTTTTCTTTGCGTGCCACCACTCAGTGGCAGGGGCCTGCAGGACTTGACCCCCTCGACCAATCCACCCCACTGTGTTGGGAAAGCACAGCCAGACTCCTCCTGGGGGTGGCGGGGGGTGGGAAGGGTCTAGCGCGGTTCTCTGCTCACCAACAAACCAGCCGTCGTCACATTTCTCCATGACATCTACGACATCCCCGTCTCTTAATTCCAGCTCATCGTCATTCTGAGGGATGTAGCTGTACAGCGCTTGGTAGCTCAGTCTGAAAAGACACCAACGGAGAGAGAGGGTGCCCAATGTTAATCCCGTGTCTGACCGGCAAACCGCAAGCCCTCTTACCCTCAAACGGAGGGCTCTTCTGCATTTTCATCTCCATTGCTCGGGTGTTCCTGTTGCTTTGGGTCCTCCCCCCCCGTGTTCTGCATGTGTTTAGCGCCCTCTAGTGCTTGATTCGCTATTCCATCGCTATACTTCCAGCATCAAAACCCCGCAGTGTAAATCTGCAGGGAGATATGCCAGACATACAGTGATGAAATACAGAATCAACCACTAGTGGGAGCTAAATGTGAGCAGAACAGAAACCCACCGCCACCAAGCAGTCGGGACCAGTGTTCCCTCTAAGCTGAGTTAGTGTGAGCCAGCTCACAGTTTTTTGGCCTCCGGCTCACATACGTTTGTCTCAGCTCAGGAAGGAGGGCTCCCGAGCAAACTGATTTGTGCAGCAGCCAAATGGCTCACTCACAGCTTTAATGCCAGCAGCTCACAAAGTAAGATTTCCGCTCACGAGACTCCATAGCTTAGAGGGAGCATTGGTCGGGACACACAAGCGAGGAAAATGAGATTGTGGAGGAGCCCAGGGAGGCATGGATGATCTGCTCCCTCATGGCAGGAGCCTTGGTGGTGTCTCTCCTTCCTAGGTCCCAAGCCCCCCCCCCCCCCAGTAGCTCTGCTTGGCTTGGCCCCACTGGGTCCCGGGCCACTGCCAGATGCCAATCTGGGAACCAGAGGGTAAGGTGGAAAGGAGGGGCACAGCTGTGCCACTGAGAGCTTGTTGGTAGGCTCAACACCAGACTCCGTATCAAGTGTCACCAGAAGCCTGTTCTTCTGGGGGGGGGGGACACACAGACCCCTTGGGAGAGCATCTCAGAGTCTTCAGAGCCTTTCCTATCAGGAATGAGAGACACTGCTCAGGAGGAGTCCCAAACAGACCCCCTTTAACATGCTTATAAATAATAATAATAGTGTCCTGACTTAGCGGTTGACTCCGCAGGGTTTTCGAGGCAAGAGACAACCACCGGCGGCCTGCCCTTGCCTCCCTCTGCGTAGGAACCCTGGACTTCCTTGGTGGTCTCCCACCCAAGTACTAACCAGGACCGAACCTGCTTAGCTTCTGAAGAAGAAGAAGAGAGAAGAGATTGGATTTATACCCCTTCACTACCCAAAGGTGTCTCAGAGCAGCTCACAAACTCCTTTCCCTCCCCCTCCCCACAGCAGACACCCTGTGAGGTAGGTGGGGCTGAGAGAACTCTGACACAAACTGCTCTTTTTCAAGGACAGCTGTGCCAGAGCTTGTGACTGACCCAAGGTCATCCAGCCAGGTGCAAGTGGAGGAGTGGGGAATCAAACCTGGTTCTCCCAGATTAGAGTCCGCGCACTTAACCACTACACCAAACTGGCTTTCTGGCTTCTGAGAGCCAACAAGATCAGGCCTGCCGGGGCTACTTAGCCTTTACACATAGGAACACCAGTAAAGCTAAAGCCCATCTTAACCCCCTGACTCCCGTATCGAGAGAGAGAATAATCCATCAAAACCTCAACAGTTGCAAGCTTCTAAACATGGTGCCGGGGTACTGGTGGTGGGGAATCCAGGCGACTTACATATCCTGTGGGGTGTGACTCCTGTCGGGGCTGGCTCCCAGAGGCAGGGCTTGTGGTTGCTGAGAAATGATGAGAGATGATTTATGGTCATTAAAAGGCCGCTTGAGGCCAGAGGCCAGAGGCTGAGAAATGGCACTGCAGTAGTGAACGGACTTTTCGGCAATGTTTATGATCTCATTGCAAACAGTTTCCTGGGAGGCAAAGGCAAGACCCAGAGGAGAGTCAACAGGGGAGGGGGGTTGGGAAATAGTCAGTAAGAGACGAGACAATCCAGACGTAGCACAAAAGTCCAGTCAGAAAACAGAGTTGTAGATCCAGGTACACAGTCCAGGCAGTGGAGTGAAGAAGAAGAAGAAATCCGGGTGGCAAGCATGGAAAGAAAAACAGGCAAGACACAGAAGAATTTGCTGTTTAGTTCCGGGTTTTGTATAACCGAGCAGCAGCAAAAGAGGTTGCAGTTAGTTAGCCAGGGCTTCCAAATCACAAACGCCACCATTTCAGTAACAATCTCAGGCATGCAACCGTCTGCCAAAACAAAACCCACCCCACCCCTAATACTGAAGCTCTCCCTCAACGACATTCCATTTCTGCATCTCCTTCTTCGAGATGAAAAGTTGTTCGGGGTGCGAGGGGATGCCTTTCGCTCCTCTCCCCAACAGTGCCAAGC